GTGTGACAGTGCTGGGAGGGCAGTTATAAGGTGCAGTGTGACAGTGCTGGGAGGGCAGTTATAAGGTGCAGTGTGACAGTGCTGGGAGGGCAGTTATAAGGTGCAGTGTGACAGTGCTGGGAGGGCAGTTATAAGGTGCAGTGTGACAGTGCTGGGAGGGCAGTTATAAGGTGCAGTGTGACAGTGCTGGGAGGGCAGTTATAAGGTGCAGTGTGACAGTGCTGGGAGGGCAGTTATAAGGTGCAGTGTGACTGTGCTGGGAGGGCAGTTATAAGGTGCAGTGTGACTGTGCTGGGAGGGCAGTTATAAGGTGCAGTGTGACCGTGCTGGGAGGGCAGTAATAAGGTGCAGTGTGACTGTGCTGGGAGGGCAGTTGTAAGGTGCAGTGTGACCGTGCTGGGAGGGCAGTAATAAGGTGCAGTGTGACCGTGCTGGGAGGGCAGTTGTAAGGTGCAGTGTGACAGTGCTGGGAGGGCAGTTATAAGGTGCAGTGTGACCGTGTTGGGAGGGCAGTTATAAGGTGCAGTGTGACCGTGCTGGCAAGACAGTTGTAAGGTGCAGTGTGATAGGGCTGGGAGGGCAGTTATAAGGTGCAGTGTGACAGTGCTGGGAGGGCAGTTGTAAGGTGCAGTGTGACAGTGCTGGGAGGGCAGCTATAAGGTGCAGTGTGACCGTGCTGGGAGGGCAGTTATAAGGTGCAGTGTGACTGTGCTGGTAGGGCAGTTGTAAGGTGCAGTGTGGCAGTGCTGGGAGGGCAGTTATAAGGGGAAGTGTGACCGTGCTGGGAGGGCAGTTATAAGGGGAAGTGTGACCGTGCTGGGAGGGCAGTTATAAGGTGCAGTGTGACCGTGCTGGGAGGGCAGTTATAAGGTGCAGTGTGACAGTGCTGGGAGGGCAGTTACGAGGTGCAGTGTGGCAGTGCTGGGAGAGCAGTTATAAGGTGCAGTGTGAAAGGCATTTTGCAGTCATAGAGCAGCTCAGCAGACCAGTAACAATCAGACTATGTGGCTGGAGTCCGGCCAGACAATGCTGCAGAAGTCATCACTCCCCAGTTCCTGAGTACACAGATGCACTGCCAACTCTCCTTATGTCTGAATCTCAGAGATTCCTTCCAAGTGCAGAAACATCAACACTGGAGCAGGGTGACAACACAGATTATAGATAGGGGGGTGACCGGAGGGGGTTTCTGGGGGGGGGTGTCAGGAGGGTGTGTTTGGGGGGGTCGATTGGATTGCCTTTGGATTTTAGGCTATTATTCCTTTTTGCAGACAATGGAGGGGGCGGGGCAGGTCTTCCATGTTATATAAATGATTGGTTCTTTGTTTGAAGACAGCAATTGTTATAATGCATTCTGGGCTGCCGAATGTGAGATCTTGGTGAATGTCTGTGAATGTGGCTCGAATGAATGAAGGTGACAACATGTGACGGCATCTCATAGTTCCGATGTTCTTGGCACAGTTGTCTCGGGAAGATTATGCCACCATCCTCAACAAAATCCCGGAAGGCGTCTTCTACAGGTTCCAGCTGTGCTCAGTGAATGGGGTGCCGCTAATGAAACCCATCGCGGAACAATGGGAAGGTGTGGAAAATTTCCAAGCCAGGCCAGACGATCTGCTTGTAGCAACTTATCCCAAAGCAGGTAAGAGAGGCTTGGGCCTATAATTGTTGAACCACTGTAACCTCTTGTGGTCACCCTACTTGTTCCTAAATGAAAACTTTGTTTCAAACAAAATGCATTGAAGGACTTGGCTTGTTCAAGAGAAGAATTTTGTGATCAAAGTTCTATAACGTGGTTATCTGAAACTCAAGCCAAGTGCAGGCAGCAGGCCAAGGTCAAGACCAGCAATGTAGGCTCAAGGAAGATGCAAGATGTAGACCAGGGTCAAGGAAGGCAACAAAGGCTCAAGTCAAGTTTAAGTTCACGGAGTAGGACGAGATTGGGGAATCCAATGTTGGCTTAAGCCCAGTGCAGGAGGCAAGCTGTGGTCAGGGAAGTCAACTGCAAGAAGCAGGCAAAGGTCAGAGTAGATAATGTAGGCTTAAGTCAAGTAAAGGGAGAAAACCATGATCAGGAAAGCCAACTGCAAGAAGCAGGCCAAGGTAGGTCAGAGTAGATAATATAGCTTAAGTCAAGTAAAGGAAGAACACCATGTTCAGGGAAGTCAAGTGCAAAAAGCAGGCCAAGGTCAGAGGAAATAATGTAGGCTTATGTCAAGTAAAGGGAGTAAACCATGGTCAGGGAAGTCAACTGCAAGAAGCAGGCCTAGGTAGGTCAGAGTAGATAATATAGCTTAAGTCAAATAAAGGTAGAAAACCATGGTCAGGGGAGTCAAATTCAAGAAGTAGGCCAAGGTCAGAGCAGATAATGTAGGCTTAAGTCAAATGCAGGAAGCAGATCAAGATTAGGACATGCTACAGTATGTAGGTTCAACTCACGTGCAGGACATTGGACAAGGTTATGGCAGGCAACATAAGTTCATGTCACACACGGGAAGCAGGCCAAGGTCATGACAAACAAAATAGTTTCAACTCAAGTGCAAAAAGCAATCAGGACATGCAGTGTGAGCTGAGGGCAAATGTAGTAGGTAGGGCAGTGAACGTTGGGCTATGTAATATGCTGGAAGTAAATTGCAGTTAGAGCAAAAGAGTGGATTAGAAGCAATAATTAGTCCAGGATCCGGTTACTGATCCACACGATGTTGGTCTGGGTCAAGCAAAGGATAAAACGGCCCCATACCCCAGGGGCGCACATTGCAATCTGTCATGTGACCATAGAAAGAAAGCTGTTTTTCTGGACTGCATGAACAATCCTGGTTGATGTTCATTGCACGGTTATCATGGTTCATCATTTTATCGCCGCTCCTGGAGAACACAGAGCTCTAGGAGCAATGCCAGGTTGTTCTATGAAAGGTATCCAGGAAAGGTCATTTAAAGCAGACTTCCCAAACATGGAGCTCTCTATCGCAATGTATAGCTGGAAAGCCACAGGCTGAGAATCTCACATTCTTGTCCTTTAACCCTTGAGAGGTTCAGGATGACACTTGATGAATTTAGTATAACAACAATTATGGATAACAGTTGCAACCCAACCAGCTGACCTTTTATCAGCTTATCGGGTTAAAGGAAAACTAGGTTGCAGGATGTCCTTTGGTGTGAAAGTGTTTCTTGAGGGTAAAAATCTGAAAAACAGCCATCAACCAAATCAAAGTAGTTGCACAGAAACCACATAGTGCACATAAATGAACCAACTAGACATATAAAGCCAACAACATTAGCTGATATCAGTTTAATCTTATTTGCTATTATGGAAATGGTCAACAAACATGTACTTGGGTGTGTGAAGGCCAAAATAAGGTGTCTTCTTCACAGGCAAGACAACCCCCTACAGTCTGTCCTGTCTAAGAAGAAAGGGTTCCGCCCATCCTTATACAAGTAATCAGGGCCGGATTTCCCACAAGGCCAACCGAGGCCTGGCCACGGGGCATCAGGGGGTAGAGGGGCAGCAGGGGTGTGGAATTCCTATCTCCCAACACCCAGGACATGCAGTTCCGGGTGCTGGGCGGGTAGTTGTTTTCTACATTTAGCCCTACTTTGGGTAAGCAGGGCTAAATGTACACCGGGGAAGCCGCTGCTTGTTTTGTACAAGTGATCTTGGCGATGTCGCCGGGATCACTTGTATGCAGTCTGCATACAGGGGGGCGCATTGAGGAACCTGGCATTGAGGCAGCAGAGAGATTAAATCTGCCCCTGCAAGTAATGATTAGAAGTCTCTAAAACTGGGACCAAGACACCATGAAATGGGCAACAGAAATTCTAAACCTTCCCTGTTTTGGATATTTCCCTTATAAACTATTCTTTCCCTCTGAGGTCTCTCCAGGCACCACATGGATGCAAGAGATCGTGGACTCCATAATGAACGATGGCGAGTTAGAGAAGAACAAGCGCGCTCCCACCCATGTACGTTCTCCGTTTCTGGAGATCTGCTCTCCACCTTCCGTTCCTTCCGGTGAGTTTGGTTTACCTTTCGCAACGTCTGGTTGATGAAACGACGGACTTGGGGTTGACCATTTCACTCTTTTTTTTTTTCCAGGTGTGGATATCCTGAACAATACTCCGTCTCCCCGGCTCAATAATTAGTCCAGGATCCGGTTACTGATCCACACGATGTTGGTCTGGGTCAAGCAAAGGATAAAACGGCCCCATACCCCAGGGGCGCACATTGCAATCTGTCATGTGACCATAGAAAGAAAGCTGTTTTTCTGGACTGCATGAACAATCCTGGTTGATGTTCATTGCACGGTTATCATGGTTCATCATTTTATCGCCGCTCCTGGAGAACACAGAGCTCTAGGAGCAATGCCAGGTTGTTCTATGAAAGGTATCCAGGAAAGGTCATTTAAAGCAGACTTCCCAAACATGGAGCTCTCTATCGCAATGTATAGCTGGAAAGCCACAGGCTGAGAATCTCACATTCTTGTCCTTTAACCCTTGAGAGGTTCAGGATGACACTTGATGAATTTAGTATAACAACAATTATGGATAACAGTTGCAACCCAACCAGCTGACCTTTTATCAGCTTATCGGGTTAAAGGAAAACTAGGTTGCAGGATGTCCTTTGGTGTGAAAGTGTTTCTTGAGGGTAAAAATCTGAAAAACAGCCATCAACCAAATCAAAGTAGTTGCACAGAAACCACATAGTGCACATAAATGAACCAACTAGACATATAAAGCCAACAACATTAGCTGATATCAGTTTAATCTTATTTGCTATTATGGAAATGGTCAACAAACATGTACTTGGGTGTGTGAAGGCCAAAATAAGGTGTCTTCTTCACAGGCAAGACAACCCCCTACAGTCTGTCCTGTCTAAGAAGAAAGGGTTCCGCCCATCCTTATACAAGTAATCAGGGCCGGATTTCCCACAAGGCCAACCGAGGCCTGGCCACGGGGCATCAGGGGGTAGAGGGGCAGCAGGGGTGTGGAATTCCTATCTCCCAACACCCAGGACATGCAGTTCCGGGTGCTGGGCGGGTAGTTGTTTTCTACATTTAGCCCTACTTTGGGTAAGCAGGGCTAAATGTACACCGGGGAAGCCGCTGCTTGTTTTGTACAAGTGATCTTGGCGATGTCGCCGGGATCACTTGTATGCAGTCTGCATACAGGGGGGCGCATTGAGGAACCTGGCATTGAGGCAGCAGAGAGATTAAATCTGCCCCTGCAAGTAATGATTAGAAGTCTCTAAAACTGGGACCAAGACACCATGAAATGGGCAACAGAAATTCTAAACCTTCCCTGTTTTGGATATTTCCCTTATAAACTATTCTTTCCCTCTGAGGTCTCTCCAGGCACCACATGGATGCAAGAGATCGTGGACTCCATAATGAACGATGGCGAGTTAGAGAAGAACAAGCGCGCTCCCACCCATGTACGTTCTCCGTTTCTGGAGATCTGCTCTCCACCTCCCGTTCCTTCCGGTGAGTTTGGTTTACCTTTCGCAACGTCTGGTTGATGAAACGACGGACTTGGGGTTGACCATTTCACTCTTTTTTTTTTTCCAGGTGTGGATATCCTGAACAATACTCCGTCTCCCCGGCTGGTGAAAACCCATCTGCCCTACGAGCTGGTGCCCAAATCTTTTTGGGAGCAGAAGTGTAAGGTAAGAATAGGAATGGGATAAATGGTTACAGCTGGAAGGGAAGTGTGAAGGACAGGTTTATAATCTCACATTACTTCTTTTTTTTTTTTCCATTTAATTATTTTATTATTATTCATTAAAACAAAGAAAGGTTATTACATCCTCTTACATGTACATTTAGGTGTCCAATTATGTAAATACATGATTCCAATAAATTTAAACGGAACATTAACAGCATTTCATTTCCTAAATACTCTACCTAAAACTCAATTATTACCATTAATCCTTACCAAATGTAATTTCCAGACCCCATAGTGGGGTCACATACACTCACATTACTTCTTACTAACCTCCATATTAAGTCACATGACGCCCTACTCAACAAACCCATCCCTACTCTATTTTGTACTGAATGGACACATGTCCTTCATATTTTCACCGTTACCAAATCACCGAAGCCTGGAAGACCCCCACTTTAAGCTTTCAAGCAGTTAAAAATTGGCTCACCAGAATGAAAAATGGACGGCCATCTTGGCCAACACCCATGCTAAATTGCCCTTACATAGCAACCCAGTGCATACTATTTTCATCCTTTATGATTCAACTAGTTCATTACTAGCTCTTCAGAAGCTGCACCCCCACCCCCCAGGAGCCCCTTCAACTCTTTCACCCCCTTCCTCTTTACTACACCCTTTCCTTCACATACTTCTCCACCTTTTCTCCTTTCATGCCATACTTTCTCTTGCACACTACTAGCACTAGCCACCGATGGAAATATATTTTACTCTTAGATTTATATTTTAACTCAGCTGGTTACAGTTCTGATTTACCAGCATTATTTGGTTACCTAGGATGATGGATGACATGGAAGAGACCTTTATTTTCACCTGGCGATCCTGCCAGTGACACACTTTCTGTCCAAGGGTGATAACGCTCACTCTCAATACTATATGGAGGAGCAGCATGTTCATACAAGTACAGGAAGTGTGTTAAGACAACAGAACACCCCCCTTTCCTCATCTCCATAACATAGGGGAAGGTGTTCTGAAATCCATAGTGAAAGATGGGAACAATGCCGATAACAGCCAGAAGTGGCAAACAGCAAAAAAAGTTATCAGCTCAAAAGATTTCAGGCAGGATCTACAGGAGGCTCGGCATTGTCATCGATGGACAGGAATCTGTTGGGTTTACAGAACATCTCTGCCTCTCCTCATATTTTTTATAGCACAGAGGGGAGTTATTTTGTAGATGCCAGAGCTGTTCTGGGCAGGGACTGAGATTCAGTGCAGCAAAGGAAGCTGCAAGGATCAACAGGTATATTTTGTGACTTATCGAAGCGATATAACAAAATGCTTTCACTGGTCTATTTAAAGTACAACTCCTGGCATGTATAAAATTAACCCTTGTGGTGGTGC